AAATAAATTGGCGAATGTATGTTATATTTTTGGCCGACTGCCCGATCGCGGTAGTTTTATAAACTATAGGCCGAGGTGTTTTTGGCGTAACGCCTATTTTTGTGCGGGCTTTCGTTGCCCGGTGTCCTCTTTTCCACGATGACTAAAAAGATTACGTATTATTTATATATTCCTCTCCTTCTTGTTTTCACATTGTACACAATGAGGCAACTTTCGTATATATATTTTTGTATACATAGGCAACCAGCGAGAGGAGATTTTGATCCATTCTGAAAAACTTGTTACAGATTCGACTGAGAAACTAATTATTGAGTATAGCGAAGACTTCGTATCCTCAACACCTCATATTTTAAATTTTAATTAAAATAATAGTTTAATATTTTAAATTTTAATTAAAACAATATTTTAATATTTTAAATTTTTCAATTGAATATCTCATTTCCAATTTTCAAGTTGCACAATGACTCAGAGGAACGTTTGGACTTTGTACGAATATATATTATCAACAGTACGCAAAACATTTTAAAATTTTCACTAATACTGCAACGAAATTTCATTAATACTGCGAGGATACAGAATTGCACTGATGTAACTTGAAATCAGTCTGAAAATATGGGTATACAAAAGTTGCAAGAAACTTATATTATTGCAAGCATACAGTAAACTCCATGCAGTGAACATGAAATTATTTTCACGTGGAAAAATTAATGAAGACCGTGGAATAAAAATTTTGTTTACAACTTGTAACTTGTAACTAAATTTCTAATAACTTGTTTCCAAGGTGACAGAGTTTGAGCGTGTTTGATTGAAAACTGATTTCGTAGACTCGTGCTCGGTAAAAATATTTCAATTGAATTGTTTCTCAGGATCGGAGCGTTTTGCGAGAAAAATTTTATTCGACATTTTATTCAACATACTTCCGTTTAACATCAATTACAAAACTTCATAAATATCACGCGCAATTTCCATTTCCAGCCGTGATCTCATAATAATACGACGTAAATATAATTTAAACATCGAAAGATGAGGAAGACGACGGAGAAAACTTGGTAATTAAATATTAAACCGAGTAAACAGAGATTAATAATCTAACAGACTGTGTATGTAACACACTTGAAATTCTTCTGAGGACGCGAATGAAAATTTATGAGGAGCTTACACGACACGCGAGACGTGTAATTGATTTCAACCTCGAGGAAATAACGCACTGTCTCTCCCCCGCCCTCCGTTAGTTTAATTGCGTATTTACGGCAACAATCAACGAGGGAATGAAAACATCAGACAAGTTGATGACGCTTTTATAATTGCACTTTTTCCCACTTTTCGACGTGAGTGTCACTGAAAGCGTTCGCGTCGAACGATCCTTGAAACACACCTTACATGGATAAAACATCCACGAAGACGGAAAGTGGGAGTTGACCTTCCGCCCATCCACCGAGAACCGATCATCTGCTTACTGGGTTACGTGCGCCGCGCGAAGAATGTGTAGTAAACGTGTGGCCCGATCGCGTGCATGACCATAATTAAACAATTCAACTGTGAATTATCGCAGTACGGGAGGATCTTAATTTCCAGAATGTTAATACAAAATCCTATTATTTACGGCGATTGCTGAGAGATTTCATTCACGAAACGAACTGCAGGTATATATTCGTTAGGATGATGATGAGTTCTCTATGCTTCTCTTTGAATTCTGTACACGCGGCTAGTTTCACATATAATTTTTACACGTCAATTGCAAAACACAGTGTGTTGAATACAGTAACGTAGTAACAATGTTTCAAAGTGTTTCAACTTTTAATTGTTTCACGAGAAGTCTTGCGCAACAACAGGTTCAAACAAAACCAGTTCTAACATCTTAAAGAATTTAATCTACAATTTTAAAGAAATTGTACCAAACTCCTCTCCTTTGTTAACAAAAATGAAAATCCGATTACGTACGAAGCTTTTCACAGCGCGCAGCGTTATTCAATCTAAATGTCGATCGACCATAAATTAAAAGATCGATAAATCTTTCTTTCGAAGAAAGCGCAGGACAGCCGTAAATCGAGCACCGTGGAAAAAGGGGAAGCATAATTAAAGGCGCAAACTGGATCACGTGTACCATTGACGCGTGACTAAATACTATTTGTCAAATACCGAATGTATCGACAGACTCGCATTTGCATTGGATTAACGTAAATGCAACGGCCTGGTACAGGGGATGGCGTGCAGCAATTAATCTCGCCGCGTCGAAAAACTCTCGGCGAACCTTTGAGAGGCTTGAACTCGCCTCGAACAGTGGCCGTCGTTGTATTCGCGCGTACGAACGTCGAAACGGTTAACGCGTTTCACGTTCGCTCGTAGAGAGACGTCCCGAGGTGGGCAAAAAGAAAAAAAAAAAAAAAACGCCGATCTGAATTTCATTCCGTCCACTTTGAACGAGGTTGAAGCACAAATGCGAAACGCTGCAGCGAATTTCGAAAGTTACGTCGCGTTTATTTTACCAGCGTGACTCACGGCCGCCGCGTTCTCTTCACGGCCGTGCTCCTGAATGTCATTTTTCTTCTTTCTCTTTCTTTCTTTCTTTCATTTTTTTTTTTTTTTTAAGATCCTTCCTCGCCTGGATCGCAGAAGATACTGTTGCGAGGCTTTAACGCGCAGGGTTTTTATTGAATAAAAAGCATTCGTGCGATTAGTCTATTGTAGAATGAAAAGGAGAATATTTTCTATATTATTGAATATAAATATGATATATTATTAAATATAAATATATATTAATATATATTAAATATAAATATAAATATATTATATATATTAATATATATTAAATATAAATATAAATATAAATTTTCTATATTATTCAAGTATATTGCAACTCTGTATTTTATATACGTATCTATAGATTAGTAATATAGTATATTAATAGTATAGTATAATATAGTATATTCAAGTATATTTTAATTAGTAATATAGTATAATCAAGTATATTTTCTATATTATTAAATTAAATATAAATAAATATAAATTAAATATAAATATAAATTTCCTATATTATTCAAGTATATTGCAACTCTGTATTTTATATACGTATCTATAGATTAGTAATAGATGTGTTTATACAAAGTAACATTCAGTAATTTAAGTATTCGTTCAACATTTGTACAGACAAAAGATTATGTATCGTGAAAATGGTTAAGCAAGTTTTGGAAGCAAGATCAGATTTTCATTAATCGTTTCGTTGAAAATTTGACTAATAATAGACTGTACGTAATTGTTCATTAAAGAGGCGGACTCGTGCTTTTGATCTCTTGACATTTTGAACGATACGACATTTTTGCCTCGATGAAATGTTACCATTGCGTAATATACTGCCTCATTATAAGTTAGCAAATGATTTAATTAACGTTCGCCTATGTACATTTATTACTGCAAGTGCCAAAAAAAAAAAAAAAAGAAAAAAATTCTCCTCTTTACTCCAACTGTACGTACAAACTTTTGCCTTCCACTGTATACAAAAAGTACAGCGTATATTTAATAAAATGTTAGTACGCAACGTGAATAACTATATTTTAAATATGTAACAAGCGGTTTCAGTGAACATCGATGCGTGCTAACATAATATAATTGACTGTTCAAATATTGAATTTGAGATTTCTGTGAAAAGTAGTAAATATTTTGTGTGAATAGTAACTCTGGTAATTTCTAGTTTCGTTTCAAACTTGACTATTATATATGAATCGTGAGAAAATGTTTCATAAAGCACACATATTCATAAAAGATTTCTACAAATGTTCGAATACATTCGTAGAACTACTGAATGTCAAATGCAGGTGCAATTATACATGGACGTAGTGCTATTAACGGAGTTTTTTTATTGAGCTTCGACCTGTTATAAATTCAACACGTCTTGCAACGCAAATAATCGTTAACATCCTGTGTAAAGCGTAAAATTGTTTAACGTCAGTATCGTCGTATAACCGATACCAAATTTTTATTTAAAAGAATTGGAATTTGTGCGATCCTTCTTCTAGTTCTATTAACATTGCATGTTTTACAACATTTCAACAGTATGTAAAACAAAAAAAAGAAAAAAGACGATGAAAATTAAAGAATTCTTCAAATTTCCTTTAAAATTGAAATTCCCTAAGAAATAGTTTGGCAAATGAATTCTCTGGCTCAGCGTAGTAAGTTAAGACGTGTTCCGCGATATCACCGATCGATAGCAATTACTTTTCCCTCTCGAGGTATTCCTTTCAACGTTTCCAGCTCCAATGGTGCATTTAATAATGCATCGAACGATAAAAGGCCGACAAAGTATGAAATATTATCGGATTGAATGATTTAGCGCGAAGCGAGCGGAATGCAGTCGTGATTGTATGCAAAAGGTATTGCCATAAGGTAGCGCTTATTTCTCGAATATGAAAAAGTACGATTACCTGTGTGTCTCTAAATATTATATACAGGTTATATATCAACTAATGATGAACAAATAATGATGAAAAATTGTCGACACTTCAAACTGTTATAATTTCCTAAGAAAAAAAAAAAAAAAATATATAATCTACTTTACTTTTACTTTCATAGTCGCAAGTTCATTACTTTTCAAAGATGTTTTTACATTATGCAAGTAAAAAAGCAAGGATACTTTTACTCTCGAAAATTGTAACGATTCAGACGCCTCTAAAAATATTGAAAAATCTTTTTCGAGGATGTTCTTCAGGATAGAAGAATTTTCTAACTCTTTTTTTTTTTTGGAACTTCAAATAATGTTACTGATATTCCATCGCCTAACGAAACGTCGACATCGTTGTTTATTCAGTTGTACTTCTTACTGTATAGCTTGTGTACGATTTTATATAATCTTTGATCTTTCCAAGAAACGAACTCTGTTCATCACTAGAAATATATTATAAGGACGATGTTGAGCGAGCGTGTTCGAAACGCGTATGTCACAACTTCGAAGTGTGACGCGAATAAGAAGTGTCGCGACTCGAACGCTACCACTTTGTGAAACTTACCTCGCGAGAAAGGGTAATCCGATATTGGTAATAAAGCACCGGCCGGTCGGTTGTTCGTTTTATTTTTTTTTTTTTTTTTTCTTTTTTTCGTTTCGTCGTGATGTTTCGCGCGTCGAACGAATCGATCGTCGGATCAATCCACGTGACACCGCAGAGTGTCTGTTCGATACTGGCTCGATCCACTTCGTGTTTTGCACGCGAGTGCGCATCGCGGCACAAGACTAGCGTACGCGCATGCGCACTGACGTTTCCCAAGTCAGGTGCTCGATCTGTCCGCGTCAATTTCGAAGTACGAAATAATCTTTTTCTCTCGGTCCAGCACTGACAATGACCAGGATTGAAGAATCTTCGTCGAAGAAGGAAACCGTAAATTTCTTTTCTCATGAATTGTGTTTTTTTTTTGTTTTTTTTTCTTAATAGACTGTGGATGCTTATAATTTGTTAAATTTATAAAATGTAAGTCTGTGAATTGTAAGGTTTATAATAATGAAATTTATACAGAATTATAAATTATAATAGTCAGGATAGTAATAGGCTTTTAATTTTATACAATTTATCAACAAGATTGTTATAATAAAAGCGACATACTCTTCTCTTTACACGTGCTTTACAACTAATGTAAGAATTAAATTTTTATATATTCTGAAATTCTAAATGGGTAAGTACACAGAATACTATTCTATTCCCAAATTTTTTGCCCCGACTTTTCAATGCGTAATTGAAACTGTAGAACCTTAGAGAAATGTCTCTATAAAACATCATTTCAAGTACGTTCCTATAAAATGTTAATACACGTTCCCTGTTGAGTATTTTTCAAGCAGGAAAAGGTATACAGGAGTCTATAACATTTGCTTGAAATTAATGTTAGGTGTTAAATCTAGCACGCTTGCGCGTGTGCGCTCGTTGAGCGAGCGAGAAAAGCGCGCACAAGCGTAGTTTGTCCGGTTAGTGCGTTCGCAGAAGTCGAGCTACTCCTACGTACAGGGACGGAAAAATTCTAATGTTTTTGTTAAATATTTACTAGAGACTTTATCATTCAATGATTTGAACGTTTCGCTCGTTTAAAAACGTAACTTTTTAATGTTTCTCATACTTGTAACTATTACATTTTATATGCAAATTACCGAATAGATTGAGCTTGTTAGCTATATATCAGCAACAAAATTATAACGAAATTAAAACATTAATGTTTGTTCTTTGAACTTTATTATTTTCAAATAAATTATGAATTGATTGATTCATGATTGCATTGAATGAAATTCATATGAAACAAATCTATTGAAATAATTAATTCAATATTAATCGTTAGGAGACGACTTTTTATTCAGTATTTTATTTAAATAATTTTAGCAACGTTTCATAGTATAAAAGGCGATTTATTTTAAATTAATATTAAAGTTGAACGGAACTTGTTGAAAAGTAGTTCAAGAAAACTTGAAAATTCAATCGTAGATAATAATTATTAATAATAATCATTCATTTGTAATTAGCATATAAAGTTCGTTGAAAATTATTACGTAAGATTTAAATTACATATTGAAAATTCGATTTTTAATTTTCATGCGCGTACTATCGTAAACAATAATTATTTCCTTAGCAGTAATAACAGGTTGTTACCATACGCATAGAAAAATCGTTCGTTTAGCAATCGGTTTTCTCGAGCAGAGTGCGTCCCTGGCTGTGCCATATTTCTTTTCTTTCGCCCACGGTGCCACAATCCCGAGTATCCACTTCTACCTTAAGAATCGTTATTTATGGTAATAACGTAGTACGGAGAACGCATCAATACCACTTTTATACGTGACATCGAGAAATAGTTTATGGTTGAATATTTCATAATAATTAAATTCTTGGCAAAAATTCTTTTCTCTTGTAATATCGAGCACAAAACTCGAATGAATTCTCCGCTGTGTATTAATTTTTTAATTTTCAAATTTTTGATCACGCAGTAATTTGCGTATAAAATAATCATGTTAAAAGGTTAAACGAAATTTTTAATTTATTAAATTATAAATTAAATAATGTCGTGGAAATACGAGGAAAAAGATATTGAAGAATTGATAGAAAGAAGAGTTGGTCAATTACAATTTACAGGTTTTTTTTGGTGGATTAATTAATTTACTTTTTATTAACTAAAGATTAAACACTGAAACAAGATTAATCGAACGTGTAATTGCTTAAGAAGAGATTTCTTTATTAACTTAATATTTAATTAACTTAATATTTAATTAATTTGTGTCATGGACTTTATTAACAACTCTTCGACTTACTACTGCAATACATACTGTTATATGCTGTTTAAATTTCAAAATTGCATTATATAAAATTAAGTTAAGTTATCGAACTTATATTTTCAATAAGAGATTTTTATTATCATACTACATTATTCCAATGAAATGAATTTAATGAGTGTCTTATAATTCAATGTATATCGTGTAATTATATTTATAATTTTAATTAATGGTTACAAATCCTAAATTATAAATATATATTAAACGATCATTGTGAAACCGCATCGTTTAAGAATTTTTTGAATAGATATGCAAATAGAAGACTGCTGGATAACGAGTCTGTATTGACGAAACAGAACGAACCTGTTGATGATGTCACACATATGATTCGTGTTTACCCGTTGAAATAGAATTCATATGACCTATTCGATATTAAAATGTAATTATTCCTCAGTGCATGCATATTTCACGAGATCAATTAATTCTTTTATTAATCATTCAAGATGATGGAATCATCTATTATTCAACCATACTACAGTAGGAAACATTAATGATTGAAGGCGACAGTTAGAACTCACTTTTTAAATTAAATTAAATTAAAGATTGTCGTATATGGTTTTTAATTATTAATATGGTTATTTGCACTTATGATTTTATAAATTTCGTTTTTTACTAATTACATGCAAATGCATGTAACATTAAAGGAATTGTATTATTTCATGCTTTGGTAAATCAAGCACATTCAACTATTTTACTAAATATTTGAAATCGTACGGAATTTTCATGAAATTTCACTCGTTTAAAGCTAGCTACCTGTAATTAACTGTAATAATTAACATAATAATTAACTGTAATAATATAATAATAACGATATATATAATAATATACAATTTTAGTACTTTAATTTATATTAAGAAATAATTTGTAATTTAATTTGTAGATTAAAAATTAAAAATGTCTCTATATTGGAAAAAAAGTATATTATAACAAACTAACGAATCAAAAAGGGATTAATGAAATGACAAAAGCACGAACGAGGATCTCGTCTGTGACTACTGCAAAAAATGTAGCGAATGAAGGATTAATATTTTCTACGTGCTTTCCTCGCGATAGCAAGAATTTAGGACAGCTCCAGATGTAGCCTAGCTTCTGTTTCTTCTGATTCAATTCCAAAAGTTAAAAGTAAAAGTAAATTATCCTTGATTAGATTTTTCCTCAGAGTTAGTGAAGTTAGGACTCAGTTTGTAGCGACCTCTACTTCGAAGAATTTAGATCAACGACATCTATGTTCCGTCGAGATGTGTATTTAATATAAACAAGAGAGTATTTAAAAATAGCTATTAATTTTATTATCACCATAGAAATGTTTACTGACACTTATATATATTGTAGCCATAGTAGAAATTCTTCATTCGTTATTTCGTTATTTAACTTTCATTTATAGAAATTATTCGTCATGTAACTTTCATTATCTAATCTTCATTTAATTATTAGTAATTGTATATTTTGTGATATTGATAAAATTTTTATATAAACAACTAAAATTAATTACGGAGTTATTATTTA